TCAGGAAATACATACCTCTAGGATAGATTCCAACATTGATGACAGCTCCAGGCATTCCCTTGCAAAGGATTTACCGTTAGTATCAAATTCATTATTACGGTTTCTAAGGCTGAGAAAGATTTAATTCTGTGCTCCGTTTATGAAAGGAAACTTGCATCGCATCAACTCCTACATTCAGAATCTGATGCTCTACTGAGAATATAGTTAAGAAAATTGAATGTGTTGAAACTCTGTTATAAATAGCCAACCTAAAGCTTTCTTCTTCTATTTAGCTGCATATTGGTGTCTAGGAATAACAAGCTTCACTAGAATTTTAAAACTATTCTATCTTTCTCTGTATCATGTTTTTATTCTAAGAAGGTGTAGTTCTGAAATGATGGTATTTTGCCAGTCCTACAAATAGTCATTTTTAGGGAGAAAAAAAAAAATATATATATATGTGTGTGTGTATATATATATATATATATATACGCGCACACATATGTGTATACATACATACATATATATGGCATCATATTTAACACAGCTGTCACAGTGTGTTGCTGATTCAGTTCATTTTTCCAATCAGATCACACACACACACACACACACATACACACACACCCTCTTCCCCATTTCTTGGGTCAAGTGTACTCTGTATGCTTATGAATTATTGACATTTAATTATATCCAATAAAATGGACACCTCTTAATCACACAGTTCAATACACGGTCTGACTAAAGTACACATCTGTGGAGCCGAGACCTCAGTTAAAAGTGATGGCCGTAACTCTGGCCCGGGCTTTCTCAGCCCTGGTACTGCTGACACCGAGGGCCAGCCAGCTCTTTGTTGAAGAGGGCTGTGTATGCACTGCGAAATATTTTGCATCATCCTTGCCTCTGCTCACTACGTGCCAGGAACATCCCTTTCCCAGTTGGGAACTGAAAATGACTCGATACTGCATTCCGTTCCCTCGGGAGCGTAACCGCCCTGAGACCAGAGCTACTGCCCTGTTACAATTAGAGCAAAACTGTTAGTAGTAGTAATAGAGGAAAAAAAATTTGTTTCATGAACCAAAGAACAAGATTTTTTTAAAGAACCGAATAGCATTTGTTAAGCAGCGTCAGAAAGGTTTAATAGTTCAGCATCAGAAAAGATGTATTACTAATAAATCCTAGCTCTACTAATGACAAAGCAGGCTTCTAAAGAGTTGAATGACCAAACTACATTTTTAAAAAATGTTGTGTACATCTGTTCTGATGGGCTATTTCGCCCGTCTAAGTGAAACTGAGTTAGGGCATGTTTTCAGATGGAACTATTCAACTACATGTGTTGTTCAGTGGGAAAAATGTGTCCATTATAATAGGCCAACCTCGTTGTAATCAGCATAAGTGTTTCTGGATTTCTCTGACACAGAATAGATGTATTAATTGGGAATAGACTTATAAAATTATACTAAAGGAAAAAGCATAATTTAGGAAGATACTAAATTTGTTTTTGTTCCATAACTGCTTAGTAAGTTTCTCTTTTCCATGGTTATTTTCTAAGGCAAGTTCCTTTTCAAGAAACTGACCTTCCAGGACAAGGGGAATCATTCCAAACAGAAGGTAATTCAAGGGAAAGTAAAAAAAAAAAATCTGAGGAAAAGATAAGATTTCTGAGAATAAATAACAGAATTCCTTTTTTTTTTTTTAACTTAAAATTTGGTATTCTGCCCAAAGCAAATCTGTTTATTTTACACAGAATAATGAAGTTTTAAAATATATCCATGTCCCATGCCAAGAACATAATAAGAAACCTTGGCTACCGCTGACTGGTTTACCGAGCCCTACTCTGCGTCAGGCTCTGTTGGGTGTCGTACGTAAACAGTCTCATTAAACCGCCAGAACAATCCGGGAATAGAAGGGTAGTCCGTGTCATGTTATATAGGCTAGAAGGGAAGCACTGCACCTGAAGCAGCCTGGATGGTAAGCGGCAGGGTTTTAACTCAAAGCTGAACTCCAAATCTATGCCTTTCTTACCACTTTTAAATCTGTGTGTCCCTGTTCTCCTTTTTTCCTTTGGTTGGTTGGTTTATAGATTTTTCCCATAGGGTGAGCACCTCCCCAGGGGATATTGCCACACCTCAGTCCCTTCTCCATTCTCGTCTCGGGATTTGGGGCGTGCATGGACACACATGCACCTGGCAGGTTTTGCAAGCCTCCGGGTCTGGAACTCGAACTGCGGAGTTGGCCATGTGGGGTCGTGTGCCTTAACCACCAAGCCACCTACTAGCCCAGATGTTTCCTCTGTTTGAACTAAGCTTTGGAGAAGGAGTAGCCTTCAAATAAGGAAGACCTAAAAATACAGGTTATATTTTATCTGAACAGCTTTCCATTTATCCATCTCTTCTGTATTTTCCAAGAGCAGCTTGGCTCCCACTTTTCTCTGTGTCTGTCTCATTTTGGAGTATAAGGTTTTGTTCCTCTGAGTCAGTATTCACAGGTACATATAAACTGTTTTCCTTCAGATCTTGCCAGCAGCAGCACGTATGTTAGAATAGATCCGAGCCAGCTGGTGCAGCTGGATCTCACATGGCTGACCATGCAGTTCAAGTCCCAGACCAGGGGCTTAAGAAGCACACTGAGTACGTGTGTGTCCAAAATCCTGAGAAGAGAATGGAAGAGAAAGGATTGCAACATGAGGAGCGTCCCTCATGGGGAGGACTTTCTCACTCTTCTCCCCTGTCTGTCTCCAGTGAGCACACACACTTTTAGAACTTTAAAAAAAATAAAATAAAAAGATCATGGGTAAGATTCTTTCATGGCTCAGATGCAAGACATCATTTGACCATTGCCAAGTAGGTAGATGGTAATGTTAAGGTCCCCAGGCTTTTAATTACGTAAATAAATATAGGAAAACTACAGAAGGGCTTTTCTGTGATTCCATTTTTAACTTTGATTTCTAAGATTATTGAAATTCAAGAATGCATAAAGTGAAACTATATTTCTCATAATTTTTTTAAATTCTCAGAGCAAAGATCTGCTGTTCTTCAAGACATCGTGAGATTTGATATTGATTCCAGTGAAGCTAAGTCTACAGATGCCTTACCCAGAACTGTATCTGTTCGTTCTCGTTTAAAAAAACCTTTTAACAATATGTGTCAATTCGATACTTGGGGTGATTTTGAAACCAGCCACTTGACCGGCCAGTCTCCTGAACTGGAAAGAGTCAGATTTGTAGACTCACTAGGAAATATGCATATACCTGAAAATGTAGCACAAAATGGCCACCAATGGAACAAGGACCAAATTAACTCATCACCGAAGCTGACTCATCCAGGAAGTTTTACTAAAACAAAAGAAGTCAGTTTAGAACTGAAATCTGAGAAAACGAAAAGCAAGCATAAAAATTCACAAAGAAGAAAAAGAGAAGAGAAAAGGAGAGCTAACCGACGGAAAAAATCCAAATCTGCATCAGATTACAAAAGGAACGATAAAACTAAGAAAACACTGCCCCCCAACAGACTGGCTGAATCTGTGAATTCTGGTGACGCTTACAATTTCAATTCAGAAGAAAGTGTTCATCTCACTCCTTTCCGACAAAAAATGAGCAGTGATTCTAAGCGAGAACAAAACGAGCCTGAAGAGAGCATCTGTGAGTCCAGCGATTCGGGAGATACCTCTGATGACCTGTACCTGCCCCCTTGCGAGAGCATTCTAACTCTTGCCAGCGACTCAGAGAGGAGGCCCGTCACCAGGCCACGATCTCGAAGAGCACTAAAATATATGGATGGAAAAGAGACAGAGGAGTCTAACCCAACACAAACTCCCACCAGTAAGTGGAGTACTTGCTTATGATCAATGATCACTCCTGGCGCTTATACTATACTTACCATCTGTCTCTCTGGGGGAGTTAGAGACGCGCCATCTGTCCCTCTTCGGGGAAGTTACAGTCTGATTGAATGGTGGGGGGCTGGAGGTAGGAATCACAGTTGTGTCGCTGACCTACTTCAAGTTAATTTTAATCTTCTTTAACAGCCAATATTCTTATGGAGACAGTATTTTTATTTTCAGTAAATGAGGTCTCCCGACAGGGAAGGGGGGGTGGGACTTTTGCGGAGTTGGAATGAATGAAAATCTTTTATTCTCTTACCTGAAACATCCCCTAAAAATGAAATCACTTGAATCCAGTGACTTTGTCGTTTTAATGGCTTTGCTTTATATTTGGCAGGAATCAGATTTAAAGCATCTTCTAGTTAGCGAAGGTGGCCTAATAAGACCAAGCAGGTTTTCCTTCAGTTGATGGGCTTAGTGTTCTTTTGTATAGCATTTATGATATTCAAAACCGTGGCTCGGGAAGTTTTGCTTTTATGAAATCAAAAGTAGACAGATGTTGGAAATGCAGCCAGTACCTGCCCACGAAGATTCTCCATCTGGGAGTTTTAGTTACTATGTTAAAACTATCGTAAAGGTTGGTGTATATCATTCTCAAAATACTGTCCCATTTGGGAAACAGCAGTTAGCGTAATGGCTATGTCTCTGGACTCCCACGTAGTCGACCGTGGTTCACGTCCCGGACCCGGTGGCTTAAAATTCACGCCGGGCACGTGTGCGTGCGTGCCCAAGATCCCGAGAGGAGAATGGAGGAGAAGGGATTGCAGCGTGACCATCCCCCCTGGGGGGTGATTTCTCACTTTCTGTCTCTATGTCTCTGTCTGTCTGTCTGGCGAGCACACGCGCCCTATAGTAAAAACCTCTCTAAAAAAAAAAAAAAATACTGTCCCATTTCATTGGCCCTCAGAATAACTCTGAAATGTAGCATCATCATTGTTTTGTTTACAAGGAAACTAAAGCCTAAAAAAAAGCAGCAGCTGTTTAAGTCAACCAGTTCGGTAGTAATAGCATACAAATATCTTTTCTGAAAATACGGTGAACACTATTAGAATAACTCAGACAACATTGGCAGGATGTTGGTAAATATTGAAGCTGGGTAACTCAGAGGTTATTATACTGTGATTGCCATCTTTGTGTAACACTGGAACGTATCTACAGAAGGGAAAAAAAATTGTCTAAAATAATCCCAGAATTTGGCCCCCAAGCTACCAGCATTGACTTCACCTGGAAACGTGTTAGAAATGCAGACTCTTGGGTCATACCCCACACCCTTGAATCAGAATCTACATTTTTAACAAGTTCCCCTGTGCACTCATATATACTTTAAAGTTTGAGAAGCATTATTCCAAAATATAGCAACTTCAGGACCAGCAGATGGTGTAACGGTTACATCACTGGACTCCCATGTAGTCCACCATGGTTCGAGTTTTGGACCCAGTGGTTTCAAACTCACACCAGGCACGTGTGTATGTGTGCCCAAAATCCAAAAAGGAGACTGGAGGAGAGGGGACTGAGGCATGGCCCTACCCCAGGGAGTGACTTCTTGCTTTCTGTCTCTCTCTGGCATGTGCACGTGCCCTGTAGCAAAAAATCTCTCTAAAAAAAAAAAAATAGATAGCAACTTATCTCATATTACTTAGACATATGTCCAAATTAAAAGTTGGAATAATAAATATAGTGCAGTGCATTTATGTGGCAAAACAAAAAAAAAGATTATTTGACACCCAGATAACCCTGGAGCGGGTGGCTGCTTAATATAAACTATTTCAGTTAACAATTTTTCCTGGCATATGATTTGCTTTGTAAAGCAATTCAGAGGATAGTCCTGCCAGCATCTTCACCGTGTGCAGGTGCCTGCCTCCCACCACGGGTCTAGCTCCAAAGTAGGAGAACTGGAGTGTTTACAGCAGGAAAAACACTGGGTGGCTTTTAAACTAGCTTTATTACAGGGAACCCCATTTTTCCTGGTTTACACAAAAGCTATGATTTAGAATTCTCATTTATTTAATAGAAGGACTTTAAGTCTGTAGGAAGCCACTTGATGATAAGCTTTGGTATTAAAAGTGCTAGACTTTGATGCTTCTAAATAGCAAGGTGTGACTAAAGTGAATTCATTATGCCCAAGCTAGCATAGGAGAATTTCTAGTATTCTCTTTTATCAGTTCTTCACATCTACCATAATTAACGTTTTAACATTTGGTTTGAATTGAAAAAAAAAAAAAACTGAAAAGGTTAAAAATAACTTTACAACACTGGAATTTGCATACATATAGTTAGGATATATCATTGAATTCCATTTTAGTTCCTGTGGGGCTGTTTCATGGGGGATTATATTCAATAAAAATTGTTTTTGTAGGTACACCACCTGAAATTCACCAGTCACCTCATTTTGGCCTGAAGGATATCACCAATGTTGCCTTGCATCCTGTAGTGAAAATCAGAAGACTTTCTCTTTCTCCACAACAGAATAAAGAAAGCCCAGCGATGTCCCTGCCTAAGCGTAGGTGCACAACCAGCATAAACTATAAAGAGCCTACACTTGCTTCGTAAGTATTATTACGGGACCTCGATTTTAATGATACATATAGGAGGGGCATGTTTATAGAGCTTCGTTGAAGAATTAATCTTATGTGAAATATAAGAATTAGATGAGGGCCAGCAGGTGGCATGGAGGGTAAGGCAGCTGAATTCCACATGGCCAGCTGGCAAGTTCAAGTCCTGGACACAGCAGCACACATGCATGCCTAAAATCCCGAGAAGGGAGGGCCAGGGATTGCAGCATGGCTGTCCCCTCTGGGAGATCGTTTCTCACTTTCCTTTTCTCTGTCTTTGGTGAGCACACACACCCTATAGCCAACTAAAAAAAAAATTGATGAGAAACTGAAGTGCCATCATTCAAATTGGCAATACAGAAGAGTAAGAATATCGGAATGCTTGTAACTCTGTGTAAGATTTGGTTTTATCTTTACAGGAAGCTGAGACGAGGAGACCCTTACACAGATTTGTGCTTCTTGAATTCTCCTATTTTCAAGCAAAAAAAAGATTTGAAACGTCGTTCTAAAAAGAAAGCATGAAGCAAATACAATAACATGTTTGCTGGATGTCATTTAAATCCATCCTGCATCTTTTCCTGTTACACAAGAGAATCCCCGGGACAGTGTAAACGTGGTCTGGACTACTGCCACGGAATATTCTTTCTAGGAACCTATATGATGAACATCTCTTCAAAACCACTTCAGATGTGTGTGGTTTGTTTTGTTTTTGTTTTTGTTTTGTCTTAAACATTTAATAAAATTATTTTTTCTTTTGACTATAGTAACTGGCCTTAAGCACTCTTGTTTCGTTTTTTTAAATGCAGCCTAAACCCCTTAATTGCAGTGAAATGTTATCTTAATTAACATTTTGTAAAATAATAATGATTATTCAGGGTAAAATGTTTTAATTCTAAGCTGTGACATCTTTATTTTTCCTTCATGGGGTAGATGAGAATGAATGAATTTTTTAAACAACAGGCTGAGGGTCTTTGAAACTCTCTATCATCCTTGAGTGACATAAATCCTTAATACAGTAGGTTATACCCCAAGTTGTCCGCGGATCCCCTACACCACTATCATATTTCGTTTTTTAGATAAAATGTTTATGGGCTCGTGATTAGAGAACTGATAGCCGTTGGGCTCAGGGACGAGGTGTGTGCCTTGTTCTGAGCCCCGAGGTCTAAGCGCATGTGGTTCTCAGAGATGCCTCAGCAAGGTCACACACTGTCACGTCACGGACGTTCAGGGTAGCGCCTCCTTTAATCAAGAATGGCAGATGTCCGACGTGGATAGTAAGGGTCTGTCTGTATTTCTGATCAACCAGTATGAGGAAATCTGTTCAATTCAGTTCAGAAAGGCTGACATCTACACTTGTATATTCCTCATTAAACTTTTAGAGCCCAGTAGGTTTTCCGTTTTTAAAGAGCAATAAAGTTTGTATAAGATAGCTCTTGTGTTTTCCTTCTCTTTAAATATCAGAGTATGTGTCTGGTTGTCGTACACTGTTCATGCCTGGCATTTCCTCTCCCCCCCAATGGTGTCTCTATGGTTACTGCCTTGAAACTGTCTTCTAAACCAGCAAGTTCTACGTCCTGCTTTCTCGTCACAATCTCTTATTTTTCCAGGTTGTCTTTTCAACCACTTACCTTATTCCTATTTAAATCCCGAAAAATCTAGAGTGGCTATCCAAGCTAAGAGTAAGTACAATTTAAAAAATTAAATTAAATGTGGCGGTTAAGGTGCTGGACTCTCACATGGCCAACCACAGTTCGAGTCCTGGACCTGGCAGCTTGCTTTCTCATTTTCTCTCTTTCTCCTTCCTCCTTCTCTGGTAAGCGCATGTACACTGCAGCAAGTTTAAGATAGTAATAATAAATTAAAAAAAAAAAAAAAATCAGTGTCTCCGTCTGACTAGCATATATCAGGTTCTCAGCAGTCATAGGTCGGGGCCGTGCAGGTATAGAACATTTGCATCATCACGGAAAGGTTCATCGGGCAATGGTGCTCAAGACCAGCAGTGGGCAGAGCGGCCTAGAGGCACAACTTACACAGTGCATGCTTCGTAAGGTCTGCAAGCCAAGAACGGTTTTTATGTTTTTAAATAGTTGAAGAAAGTCAATTACTTAGAATCGGTTTTGTTGATAAGAAACACTTACTTTGGGGACCAGCAGGTGGCGTGGTAGTTAAGGTGCTGGACACTCCCACATGGCCGACCACGGTTCAGGTCCTGGACCTGGAGGCTTCCTTTGTCCCTTTTTTTCTCTCTGGTCAAATTAAAATAAATGAATGAATAAATAAAATTAAATAATAACTAAAAATAAAGAAACACTTACTTTGAATCCCAGTAAAGGGCCTATTTAACATCTTCAATTTTATCTTTTTGCCTAAAAAAGCATAAATTATTTACATTCTGGCCCTTTACCGAAAACGTGTGCCAACTACTGCTCGAGATGCCGACTTTCCTGTACTTTATAGATCGTTCTCTGGCCCACGCCTTCACTTCACCTCCCAACGTTACCCTAAAGTTGGTGTTGACATTTTTACATTTTCAATGTCTTCTATATTCGTGTAGTTTTTATTCATGGTGCTAATTTTAACACTTTACATGAAATCATATTGTACATATCCTTTTTCAACCGGCCTGTGCCTCAGCATTGTTTTTGAGACTTTTTCACGTTGGCAGATGTACATTTTTTGTGCATTGTACAGTATTTTATTTACGTGAATAAACCAGACTTCATCCATTCGTGTGTGTGTGTGTGTGTAACAGTTTCTTCCGCTTTCTCATTATTTACAAATCAGTGCTTGGGTGAATACTCTGCGTCTCTGTACATGGGTACACAAGTTTCCATGAAGGTGTCCCTAGAAGTGTGAAGTGTTTTGAACTCTAACTACTATCAGCAAATTGCTCTCTGCAATGACTCTGCCTATCCTGTAACAAGGAGTAAACAACACTCCTAAAAGCAATGTATAAGTTCCCCACACACATTTCATCAGGTGGCATTATTAGACATTAAAATTAGCCGATCCGGGGAGTGTGAAATGGTTCTCCGATTTAATTACATGAGATTGTATCTCATTAATTACTTTGAGAACTCAAGTGTTTGCTGACCATTCTCATTTCTTCAGCTATGAACTGCTTATGTCTTTGGCTTGCTCTTCCACCGAAATGTCTTTCTTTTGGTTATATATCCTTTATACTATTCTTTTTTATAAATATAAATGTTATAGATACCTTTCTCCTCAATCTCTGCCTTTTTATTTTTAATCTTGTTTATAATGTCTTGATGTTTATCTAAAGACTAGTCTCCTCTACCACCTTTTTGCTTCAGGGTTGGAGTAAAATCTCCACACTTCTGCTTTTTACTTTAAGATCTTCACACCATATGGCATTTATTTTGAGGACTAGGGATCAAATGTTATTTGTTTTCATGAGGATGAACAGTGGTTCCAGCATTAACTCATTGACTGATCTGTTCTTTTGCCTCTGACCAATAGGTCCACTTTTGTCATTTACCAAGCTTCTTTTCTGGTTTTTTTTCTCTAGCTTTGTGCTGGCCACTGATACTCAAAATTTGGGGGCTGGGGAGGATACACATATAAAATTTATCAGGTTGATGATACTTAGGCATACCGTTCAGTAGCATTAAGTTGTGCAACTACCACCTCTCCAGTTCCAGAACTTTTCTCCATTCCCAGCTGCAATTCTATGCCAATTAAACAGCAGGGCCCCTTCCTCCCTATCTCTGAGACTCCGGTAAGCACTATTCTACTTTCTGTCAATGAATCTTTCTTCCAGGCACCTCATTGAAATGAAATCATAAATTTGTCCTTTTGTTTCTAGCATAGTATCACATTTCATGTCATAGCATGTATCAGAACTTTATTCCTTTTTAAGGCTATGTAATAGTCCTTGTATTTATTTATTTATATTTATTTATACACACACACATACACACACACACACACACATTTTTATCAATCATATTAGGTTGTTGGGAAAGTCATGATGCATTTTTGTGTAGAAAAATACATAAAACTCAATACATAAAATGAACTTTTGGGTTGTTTCCACCTTTTGGCTGTTGTGAATAACGCTGTTATGAATATTCATGCACAAATATCTCTTTGAGTCCCTGCCTTCGATTTTTTGCGTATAAACCCAGAAGTGGAATTGCTACATCATACTAGGTTTAATATTTTGAGTGAGGCACCAGGTCCTACATGGCTGACTGCACGGTTGATGTCGTAGGCCCAGAGGCTTGAAAATCAGGCCAGACAAGTGTGTGTGCATGCCCAAAATCCCGAGGAGGTTGGAGGAGAAGGGATCGCAACATGGTCGTCCCCCCAGAATCGAGTCATTTCTCACTTTCTTTCTGTCTCTCTCTAGTGAGCGTACATACCCTGTAGCAAAACAAAAAAGAAAAGACAGTTGATGGTCACCAATCAGATCAAATATTTATCCTCTGAACTTCAGTCTGCTAAAAGAAGAAAACACACCACCAGATTGAGAGCTTTTTAAAATATAATTTAAAACTATTTTTGTACCAGTACAATATATTAATTTTACAAATGTAAAATTTCATCCGCTGTTAAAGCATTTGCAAAAACCACACATTCTACTTCAGCTTTATTGCACAGTATCTATAAGAAAATATTAATTTTTAAATTAGAAAACATAAAAATGCTTTCAATATAGAAGAGACGATCTGATTTTTAAAGACAATACTCTATAAGAATGTCTA